TTAAGTTGGCGGAAACCAGTCGGGCCTTTTGTATCCCTGCAGAGGTTTCATCGGCAACTGAGTCACTAGGGCAGGGCTGATCCTACTTCCCAGTTAAGTGAAGTGGTTGACACACTCAACTACTTCACTCTCTATTGTTAACCGCGGTACCACTGAAGACCAGTCCTGGAGCAAAAATTTGCATTTGGGTGGTGAGAAACGCATACCAAACATTCTCAAATTCCCACTCAAAGTGTTCAGAAGACTCTGCATCTTGTCAGCGTCTTCACTTAACAGGACAATGTCATCTGCATATTCTAGGTCTGGCGAAAATTCTCCTGTGATTAGGTCAACATCTGTGTAATTAGATGACGAGGGGAAGACCTCCACAAGAATATCTATGATGAAATTGAATAATAATGGAGACAGTGGGCATCCTTGACGGACACCACTCAATGAGCATAGCTCCCTGGACAACTCACCATAGGCTCTAACATGTCCACAAGTGTTCGAGTAGAGAGCTTTCAGTAAGGTGATGTACTTGCTCTGCACGCCTTTCAGTGAGAGGCATTGCCATAAGACTTCTCGATCAACGAAGTCAAGTGCCGCCTTGAAGTCGAGAAATTCAGCTATTGTCGGGCGTCTGTAAGTGTGCCTATGTTCCAGGACCTGGCGCAGTGTGAATATTTGGTCGGTACACCCGCGGTTAGGTCTAAAGCCTGCTTGGTTCCCTCGGGCCTGGTGTTCCCGAGCTCCACTCAGGCGTCGGAGAATTATAGAACCTAGGATCTTGGACACTATGTTCGTCAGGCTGATTCCTCTGTGGTTATCACGAGAGGACTTCTCACCTTTCTTGAAGACTGGAATAATCAGTGACTTATACCAGTCAGAGGGGATTGTATTTGACTCCCATATGATGGTTAACACTTCCGTTAACCTGACTTGGAGCACCTTACCACCATCCTTGTATACCTCTGGAGTTAGTCTGTCTGGTCCTGCCGCCCTTCCTCGTTTCAGGTTACCTACTGTCTTCTCGACTTTCGCTGGTGTTGGGACCCACATTCATAGGCCGAGTTGCTAGAGTTCTTGCCAATGAAATCTGTTGACCAACTTGACGGAGGGTGCGGACATCGAAGGCTGCAATATGTAGTTTGAAGCTTGGTTTAAGGAGACCAAAGATGCTGTTTTGTGGACTCACAGAGCTAGGAGAAATTGGAGATGATATGGTATTGATAACTGAGAGGCGCGAAGGAAGATTAGAAGGTAATGATTGGGAGGTGGGGAGCAGTCTGAGGAAACTTGAGCGCTGATCGAGCTTTTAGGGCGGTTGACACTTCCCGGCTGCCCACACCGTGGAAGGCTATTTCTTCTTAAGGTACCTGAAAGAGATTTGTGTGACCGCAAAGCCCATTGGACATCCGCTTGAGGCCCATCGCACCCAGCCTTTTGTGTGTGGTCATTTTGAACGTTTGTATTTTTGGAGCAGGGTGGTAGAAAAGAAACCACAAATAAACCGACACCGCCGGCCTGGCAGGCCGTGGGGCGTGGTGGAGTGTGCTGTTTTGGAGGCCGACCTTTCCTTATCCCCCTCACTGAGAAGGCGACATCAGCATGGCGCTGCTGGTCGTCCAGGGGAAACACCTTACAGTCGTCATACCTCATCCAGCCAGCAGCAGTACGACTTCGCCCTCAGACCCCCATCATACTGTAGTAATTTGCAGCACAGCGGTGACTGCTTTTCGTCTAAACACTATCCAACAGACCTTTGTGGCATGGTAGGGCCTCGAGGGAACAAGTGTTTCACCAGCATAGCTCGTTGGGTCATTGTGATATGCAAGCCTGACCACCACGTCAAGGTAGCAGCTATCAATCAAGTTCGTCGGACACCACTTCTTCCACGGATCAGTTCAATCAACCCCTGGAACTGACCCGTGGGAGAAGTGGTGTTCGTATCATTGGATGACTCGTCAAAAGGAGGACTGAACAGGCATGGAAGTTTGCTGGAACGGATGTGTGTCACTGACATGCAACTCTTCCGTGAGGACGGGGAGCTTAGAGGGGGGTGGAGTGAATCTATGAGTGAGCTCCCGCTTAAGGAAAAACTGGTCAGCGACACTGCTCCAACTCACCTCCCAGAATGCTTATGGTGCTGATGCATTCATCGCATCGAACACCAACCTGAGGTCGTATGTCGGCCCCCTACTAGCTCCCCCACCCATAAGGAAATGGTCACCAGGGGAACCCTGGAGGCCTTCCCTGTGGATCACGACTCCTCAATCATCGCCGGTGACTTCAACACCTCGTCCACCTCCTTCGAGATGGAAGATAGGCACACCAGATCCTCAAGCGAGAAGTTGGAGGATGCGATTGAGACTGGTGGTCTTTCGGAGAAAGTGACTGACACCAAGGGTCGGGGCATGCGTCGCGCCTGGATTACGTCCTAACGAACATTGACTTTCTAACTGAGGACGTGTATGTCCAACCCCATCCTGGCCTCAGTGGCCATGCAGTGATAACCTTCTCCATGTTTGCCAAAGAGGCTCTGCAACCGGAACTACCAAACACCTTTCATTGTTGCTGCAAGACCAACTATGAGACCATGGGGGATTATCTCATGAATGTATCATGGCCTGTAGACTAGACGCGTCTCACAGTCGATGAATGCTGGATGCAGGTGGAAAAAATGATCATCGGGACCATGATTCCGGGTGTGCCAGAGGCAACACACTGGCCGTCGGTGACAACCACATGGTCAAATCTTAGAACAGAAGGACCACTTCAGACCAAGCAGCAGGCTCGGTTTAAGTGGCGTTTACGGCACAGGAAGTTTGACTTTTTGAACTACAATAGAACCCTCAACAGCTGCAACATAAGAGGCCAGAGGGACAAACTAATCTGTGGAGTGACCCCAAAACCTGTACCGCCTCATGTCGAGAAGGAAGTTGACCAGCAGGGAAGTATATCACATTCGAGTTACTAAGCATTCTAGAGATAGCTGGACCTCTGAGCTCACGGTTCCAAGCACACCAAATCTGCGCCGGTTCGATGCAACATTGACCAGACCATAAATCATGAATTGATTCACCGCATCCCAATCACAGAAAAAGGCATCGGAGAAACTATTCAGGCTCCATCTACACAAGTCACCTGGCTGCGATAACCTGAAACAGGTAATCCCGAACAACTGCACCAAGGCATTTGCAATACTAATCTGCGACCTCTCCAAGCACTCACCTGGGTTGTGCAAAATCCCTAAATGATGAAAGTACGCGATCTTTTCACCCACCTTCAGGGGAAGAGACGGAACAAGTCTTGGCAGCTACTGACCAATAGTCCTACTCCCTCCACTGCCCAAAATGTCAGAAAGCCTGACAGCCGGCCAGATTGGGTAATTACTTTATAGGGAACATACTGACTATACTGTTCAGCATGGCTCTCAGAGTGGACTTTCGTGTAACATCAACTCACTAACTGCCCTGGACGACCGGACATTTAGCTGGGACTTTAGAAACCTAGTACATGCCGTTTTTCTTGATCTTGCCGAAGCATTTTCAGTGTTCCACCCACAGCCCTACTTCACAAGACCGCGTCAGCAGGTACAAGTGAGCCTTCACTCTCTCGGTTCGAAGAGTAACCAGGAATCAGGCAGTTCTGCACCAAGGTAAACAGAATACGGTCGGAGTGGGGACCATTGAATTCGGAGGTATCTCAATTCTAAGACTACTTCCGTCCCTCCTGTTCGTCAGCAATATGCCACAAAAAATCTTCTCACTCATTCTCCTTCCCACAGGTGACATTAAAATTCGGAGGGTATTAAAATAACAGACTGACTGTACGGTACTCGAAAATACTCTGCGACAACTTGAACTCTGGTCATCGGAAAATGGCTTGAACCACAACCTGGAGAAGTGTAAAGTTATGCACATCAGTACCCATGAAGCAAGGGTGGCTGAGCTCCGATGCGAGTTGAGCGACACTTCTATCACAAAAGTATCCATGGGGAAAGATTAAGGACTTAACTTCTTAGACGCCCTAAAGGCCAGCTCCAGATAAAAAGTCATGGCAACCGGAGCAAAGGCCATATGCACTTTCTGTGTAAACGGCTTGGTGTCCTCACTCCCCGACCGTTTCTCAAGTTTCGAGTCCTACGTATGGCCGCACCTAGAAGTCTTCAAGACGGTGGCATCCCGAACGCTCAGGAGTGACTCCAATCTCCCTGAAAAAATAAAAAGATCTGAGTCAAAATCACTCGTGGGACTAACAGGGAAGGTATACTCTGAAAGACTGAAACACCTAAATCTATCCACCTTGGGCGATTGCATTTGGAGCGAGATGACCTTATAATGGCCTACGGGATCATCCACCTGGCAAATCACACGGACAAACCAGTCTTGCCTGCAACATGGTGGTCATCAACGAGGAAAATTCACCGGGACAGCAAATTAGAGGGCCAATACCAGGTGCGGCTTAACTTTTCTTTTTTAAGGGCCTGTACTTTATGGAATGCCCTACCCGGGATATCGTCACATCCTCCTCGGCACACTCATTCAAAAGGCGGTTAGACAGTCACGTCACTTCGCATGGCTTATCATGGATGTACTCAGAGAATTACTAACCCACCATTACTTCCCTTCTACCTAACACTCATAACCTCTCTTGCTAGAGTGGCTGTAAGAGATATCCCAATGACCTAAGTGTTCGAAAGTCAGCGAGGCTCACTCATGATGTAAAACGGTAAACGTGTGATACATTGGACTGTCTTTAATTGGAAGTCTCAATGGTATACAACTTTCTGTTCCACAGGTAAATTCCTTTAAAAGCTAACCGTGACCATCAAACCGCAATGCATGGTGGGGTTGCTTTTTGATCAAGTATAGTTGACAGGGGCGTATTAGTAAGTGATGCCTTTCTAAAATCATTGTCTGAGTTGAATGACCAAGAAGAAAGCAACCAATAGACTGTAGAACCCACTCATGACTGTGAAATTAATATGCCAAGCCGATTCGGTAGAATACGACCTTGTACAGACACATCAAGGTCAAGTTAGACTTGTTGTCTGGTAAAGTCACCGTCTATCTGATTGCTTATCTTCTGGGTATGTGTTTTCAACCAACCTAAATTAAGTTTCAATCTGGTCATTTTATGAAGCAGTTAATGAAAATTCTACTGATAGTCACCAGGTGTACAGAGGGTACCTTTCAATTATTTCAATCAGCTGTACTGCAGTTTCACATATTGATGTAGGAAGCTAACCGTACACTGATTAGGCGTGCAGTATTTATTTTCTGGTCTGGGTGAACACGATCGACCAACACATACTCTTGAAGTGCTTTTATACTCAGATTGAGTTTCGATGCAATGAGCAGTAAAGGAGCTTTCTGTGTCAGTAAAAAGCAGCAAAACAGCTCTTTCCTGTCCCGTCGTTCCCCAGGTGGTATTCTCTTCTCAAGTGTAGCAGGTGGTCCTCCTCACGTTCATTCACCGGACAGATACTCTGGAAACGGTACCACGAAATACATACAAGATAAATGTGGAAGAGATGTGAATCCTGTGTCGTTGTTTAACAGCCTTTTGGACCCTGACATCGAGTTGCCAACCATCAGTGTGCGCGAAGTCGACGAAATATTGAGCAGTTTGACTTCCCCTGACACAACACCAATCAAGTCAACAGGTGATAACCCCAATTTAACTATGGGCCAGAACAGCTACTGTGATACGTGTGACAATCCGTGTCAAAATTCACTTCAGTACAATAAGAAAGGATCATCAAGTAGGTCTGATTTATCTAGGGGAACTGAATCTTCACATAAAGCCATTACTGTCAAAGAACCGGATGTCATAAAGCACAGTGTCGCTAGTAATTCACGAACATATATCAAAGGTGTTGAAGTGGACAGAGTATCTGTATCTTCAGATGTATACCGCAATGCAGTTTTCAGCAACAGCAGCAGCATACCTACAACTGAAAATTCATTAGGTAGTATATGCACTCTTGAAAGTCCAATCTTGCAAAGTTCTGGGCTGTCTCCTGACAGAGAGCGATGCGTCGATAGTAAAGATAGTATTCACCACAAACGCAGCATTAAGACCGTTTCTCTGCAATCGATGATGGACATACTCCCCTTGTTTCCATCTTGCAAAAGTGTAGCCGAGTTAGGTGCTTTAGCTCTTGGTCCTGAGTTCGATGAAGCAGCAATTCATAGTTGTCGCAAGCAAAAGTCCCCAAATTTGTCACTGCGTTCCAAAGCATGTTCTGGTACGAATCTTTGCAACCTACCCCCCAAAGTACCTGTCTCTACTGCTCTTCGTGACCGTTCCCCAATTGGTATTCTAGATTTAGCTACTCATGGTGCATATCAAAATTACTCTAATGTTTCACATGTTCAAGAGGCGACTAAGTACCGACAAGCATATCTTTCAGTACGCAGAGCAAATCGAGCCAAAATCCTATCTAAGTCTACAACATCTGCATTATCGTTTTTTGAGAATGGAAGTTCGGGTAAATCGAGTAGTCAGCATGTAAGTATTCACTTCGTTTCACTTTCTATCGTCCTATATAAAGTTATTTTCGATCTTCAACACATCTCTTAGATTGTTTTCAAGTGACTAGTTTCTATGGTCAAACTAGTATGCCCACTTATTACTATCAAAATACTTTGGAGTTAGTGACTATTAAGAAATGAGATTTTCATTTGTTTGTTGGTAAATTGCCTATTTCCATCACTAATTCCTTATAACGACTTACCGTGACAAAAGTAGCTCCACGAATGCCGTGTGTCAAAAGTGTCGGGCACTAGGTGAATTTACACAAATAAGCCTACCGCTAGAGCAAATGTCTTGCTTTTTACATTTCGGAGACTAGCAAAATCGTGTACACTAATGTCTAAGCTGTTAGTGAATATTGTTTTCGGGATACAATTAAGTGAGTGATATCCTGGGAGGGATAAAATATTTTCTAACGATTAATAATACTACCGTGACTTGCACATCTTCATGCGAATTACATTAGACATTTTCTGTGATTTTTGAAATAACCCAAGGAAGATAATCGACTTCAGAACTACTAAGTGCACTCAGTTACATCGGTGGTTAGAAAGCTTGGCAACGTTCTTTTTTTTAATGTCTAGCCGCAGGTTTGTTGGGAAATCAACGTTGGCTTTTATGGTAACGGGTGTACGTCATCGGCTTAGACACTCGACTTCCAAAGATTTCATTAAGCATTCAAATTCAGTTTATGTCTGAAACGCATCATAAGCCTTCACACATCATTTGTAAACCATAGCCTAATAGACAAACCTATATCAGGCTGCCTAGTCTTATCTTGTTAAGATATATTGTTTAAAATGTTTCAGAATAGTAGGTTACAGGAGATTTGTGATCCAGTTGTTTACTCTCGCGCCAACAATTGACTTAGTATCTCAAAGTTAATTTCATTCTGTTTGGAAAAATGAAGTGTCACTAATTCTTACGCAGTAAACATAGTTTAAAGCTTAGTGCACTGGCATGTTTGAATAACTCCAGCCGTTTCAAAAGATACTGTTTTAACACTAACAGGTAGATCACTAGATGTATTTTAATGGTTAAGAATCAGAAGTGACTGCATAACTTAGGCCTTCATTATAACCATACCTTTTTAAGACTGGATGTAAATATTTTATCACTAAATCCGTGGAAATTGCTGTAAGCTCCTTTGATTTGTAATTATTCCGCCTGTTATCTTAAATTGTGCGGCTAAACGAGAAAGTAAACTAGGTTTCGAAACACTTAAAAGGTATTTCAATAATATCTTTAAACCATAGTTCAGAGAATATTAGTATCAGAATTCAAAAAGCAGAACTTTTAGATCTCAGTAAACTAGGTTTTACTGCAAGGACTTAGCTTTAGGGGTGTCAGTCTTCGATAGAAATTTGAAGTCTGTAGGTTTACAGGGATCCATAAAACGTAAGTGGTTGGGTAGACTATTCAAAGGAAATTATACATTACCCCTCTAATTTGATATCTGAACTTTTCCAGTAAGACTTATCGAAGGTGGGGCTAATGGATGATGCACTGATTTCAGCTGGTACTCGGCGACTATATAGGTTCATCGAAGAAATACACGAAAATAACGATGTTTGCATTGGCACTAGCTGAGAAATACTGGTCCTCGATAGTCATTCAGGATAGGTGGCTGAAACTTTGTACGAAACACTGAAAAATAGTTCAATTAATAACTCACAACCACTTTCCAGCTGTCCAACTGCTACAGAAATTGCTACAGTGTTTCAAATCAGAAAAGGCACAAAATCCGATTATTAGCTGCTCAGTATCTAACGATTGAGATACAGAGCTTCTGTCTATATTGACTGAGGTACTAGCCAGTGTACGGAACTCAGAGGTACTCTCGTCAGGGTACTCCAGATTATTGATCATTCAAATTTATATTGAGGGAAACAAGTCTTTCTTTGATAACCATCAACATAAACATAGGACTAGAAATTATTGCTTAACGGTCCAAGTTTCTCATCTCACATCATAACATGAAGCAAGAAGGCACTTAGACAAAATAAAAAGGAGAAAAAGAAGAACCGGTCAAAAGTAGCAGAAAGAAGTAAAATAAATGAAGGAGGAATACGAGAACACTCAATCCAGTGTGAGAATTAAGATGAAGGTAATGTACCCATACATCTGCTCCACTGAAATCGATTCTGAGCCATGTCACTTAGTCTCCAGCCACTGGGTTTTGTTGTCACATGAACCCCAACTGGCTAGTCTGCATTTCTCTATATGGCTCAGACCAATAGTCAAAGACTCCAAGCACTGATGTCATGTCTTAGTCTGGTCACCCCTAGCCTTTCTCTAGCTTTATACGCTTTATAAGTTGCAGCCACCTGAACCGATGAACGTTCACATCAGATGACTCTCCTCTGCTCCCTAGAACCCTACGCCTGACTTCTGCATTACTCGCGTGGTGACACTACGACACACGGCCTACGCTGCGAAGGTAATGGTGGTCAAACACTTGAAGCCTCCTCATATCATTCACCTTTGGTGTCTATGCTTCAAAGCAATAGAGGAGAACAGAGCGAACTACAGTGCAGTATACTCGACTCTTAGTAGGCTATTGGATATCACGGCGCAGAGATTTCGTCAGCCAGTGACCCATCAGGCCTCATCTGACTCCCCAGGTAAGTGAAGTGGTCAACACCCTCAACTATTTCACTCTTTATGATTACCCGAGCAACCAGTGAAGGCCAATCCTGGAACAACAGTTTACATTTGGATGGTGACAAACGTATTCCAAATATTCTCAAAATACCACTCAAGGAGTTCAGGAGACTGCATCTTATCAGAGTTTCCGCATGATAGAACTAGTTTTCCGAGTACCCTAGATCTACCAAGGATTCCCTGTGATTAGATCAATCCCTTTGAAGTCAGATGACGAGGGGAAGACATCCATAAATACGTCTATGATAAAATGGAATAAGATAGGAGAAAGTGAGTACTCTTGACGAACACCACTCGACACACACAGCTCACCTAACAACTCATCATGGGCTCTAACATGCTCACTCATGCTCGAGTGCAGAGGCTTCAACAGAATAATGTAAATGCTCGGCTCCCCTTTCAGTGAGAGACATTACCATACGAACGTTCGATCGACAGGGTCGAACGCCTCCTTCAGGCTGAGAAATACAACCAATGTCGGGCTTCAGTAATTGTGCCTGTGTTCCGCAACCTGACGATGTGTGAACATGTCGTCCATACGCCCATAGCCAGGTCTAAAACGTACCTGGTTTTCTCGCGTTTGCTGTTCTCAAGCTCCACTCAGATGTCTAGCGATCACAGAACTGAGAATCTTGGACACTGTTCGTTTGGCTGATCCTATTATGGTCACCACAAGAGGACTTCTCACCTTTCTTGAAAACCGGGATAATCAGTGATCGAGGCCAGTCAGAGAGGACCACTTCAGTTAACTTGACTAAAAATCCCCTACCACCGTCCGTAAATACCTCCGAAATCGGCCCGTTGGCCGTGATGCTCTTCCTCGTTTCAGGTTGCCTATAGCTTTCTTGACTTCTGAAAGTGTTGGAGGTTCCTACCCCGGTGTTTCATTCATGATCCTACTAGGCAACGAAGTAGTGGCTGTAGTCTAGTTGAAATGTTCCTCGAAGTTTTCCGCCCACCAACCCAGACGTCTCCTCTGCGAGTAAATCGTAGACCATCCTACTCCTCTATAGTCTTATCAACCACTGACCTTTTCGCCCTAGTTTCCTTAATAAATCTAAGTAATTATCTACTGTTACCCATCATCGTTGCCTTCACCGTGTCTTCAACCTCCGATGCCCACCACTGTTAGCGGTCGTTGCGTAGACTTTTTATCAGTCTACGTTTGAGTTGCGTTCGCTTCTCATTGCACTCAGAGCCTGCAGGGATGCGTTCGTGTGCATCCATTAATGCGAAAGAAGCTGATGGTGTCCACGGGTCATCTGCAACATCTTTTTTAGAGTCACCTACGGTGCTCAAACGCTGTTTTCACAAAAGACTAGACGTGGAACCAAGATTCTTCTGGATGGGTGATATTTTTCCCTTCCGGTAACTGTCGAACCAGTTTCTCACTAGTAGTGGCCTCAGTGATCTCACTGTCGAGCTGTACTTTCAATGGTCTTGTTGTTAGAGTTTTCCTAAGTTCATTTAGAGATGCACACATACACACCCTCCAACTAATACTTGGTCGCTGTCCAAAACGCGTGCTCCAGAAAAAGCGGTAGTCTTCACACGTCGGATGATGTCACGCTTCATGTATGAAGTTTTTGCTAGTCAGAAATATGTGGTTGTTTGTGCACAGTAATAGCAGGCGATTGCTGTTATCTGTCTGTTCCGCTGAGTTCCCAAAAGTACCACACAGGTGTCTTTCTGTCTGACTTAGCTTACTCACCTGTGCATTATGACCACTTATTACAACTACCGCATCTGAGCACTTACCTTTAATAGGAAGCTAGATAGTCTTCGGTAAAACGCATCCTTCATTTCATCCAAACTGCAATCAGTGTGTGCGTAAGGAGAGACTACAAGGAGACAGTGGCGATTTTCACTATTCCCTCCTTGTCCTCATCATACTGCCATTCAGCTAAACAGCGCGTAGGTGACTGTCAACTGGGATCCTGTTGAGCAATGCTCTTTCTGCTCATACTTGCACCTGAAACACCACGAGAACTTGCCATTGAATCGTCAGAAACTCGAAGTATGTTTTCCGTGAATTCACCATAGTGATCTGGTGAGGTTGAGAGTGGATAACCACACCTGGAGTCTGTATGTCTCACAAACACGGCATACATCCACAGTCCATTTTGCTAGAATTTTGGCTACCGAAGCCTGTCGGTCGACTTCATGAACGATGCCAACATTGTAGGCTTCAATATGTAGTTTACAGCTCATTTCCAGGGGGCCACGTATGCTATTCCGCGAATCCAGATCGTTGTCAAGGTCTTCAGAGCTCGAAGGAATAAAAAGATGATGTAGGATTTTTGGCTGAGAGATGTGAAGAAAGGATAGAAAGTAGAGATTTTGGGGTTGGACAATGCTGTGAAGGAACTTGAGTACTGACAGATTCGTGAAGGCGGTTGACACATTCCAGCTGTCTACACCGTGACAGGTTAGGTCTTCTTGAGGTACCTAAAAAGGAAGGGTTATTGCGTGAACACAGAGTCCAAAGAACATCTGCTTGTGGCCGGTCACACGGTATTTTTAGAAGTTTTGGAGTTCACTTTTTTGTTTGCAAATCCGACTATGAACCCATATCACATCAGCGTTATGTCGCAGGTTAATGGAGAGTGTGGTTATTTGAAGCCTAACGTTTCCCAACCATCCCCTTTCACCATAGAAAAGGCAATAGCAGCGTGGCATTTTTTGTTGTTCAAGAGGAACACCTTACTGTTGCCACAACCTGGTCCAGCCATGATTAAGACTTCACTCTCCAATCCTCATCGTAGCACAAAAGTTCTCACTGTAACGGTAACTGCTTTCTGTCTAACCACTCACTATACAGTTGACCTTTCTGGGATGGTAAGATCTCAAGGGAACAAGGGCTACACCAGCATAGCCCGCTGCATTATTGTAATATGCAAGTCCGACCATCACGTCCATATAGTAGCTTTTGGTCAGGATTCTGAATATCTGCACCCTAAAGTACAAATTTTCACCATTAGACTATGAACTATTTCGACTGTTTGAGGGTCAATTATGCCACCTGAACCTCAGTAGCTGTAGTAAGGTTTAGACCTGTAGCTAACCAACGCCTAAAAGATAAACTACATCTCCGAACACAAATGTATTCTGGATACCTTAAATATGATTCTGCTGTTGGTGGGTCGTTGTGATATGCAAGTTCAACCACCACATTGTCGGTCGAAGAATGATAACCGTAAAATAATCAGTTTAAATAACATCTTGTCTAAGTTACAAGGATTCACAATCACTCGCCGCCCGAATGGTACTCAAAAACGGCAAACTCTAGAAAAGCATTCTGTCTTCGATTATGATCGAGGATGCATTGATGTGCTTTTCAATCGTCGATGGATTCTGAAACAAACATCCTCACTGGTACCTGATACCCTGCTATGTTTTTTCATCCGAAGATAGATTCGACTTCCTTGATCAAAAGTTGTAGCACAGTCTGTGATGAAAAATTGACAGATAAAATCAACGTAGAACCTCTCACGCACGTGCATTGTCCCAAGTTGCCACGCTCTATAGTAGTATACAAAAACAAGTGGATAGGAAAGACTGATATGAAAGTAGACAAAGGTGTATGCGAGGAAAGGGAAGTTAAAAACTAAGGTTAGTCAAAACATTCAAGCTTTAGAAGACATCAAAGAGTGAATACATCTGTCCCACTGTGATCGATTTTCAGCCATTTCACCAAAAGTCCTCAACCACTGATTTCTGTCATCTCGGGGACCCCAGCCAGGCAGTTTACACAATCCTACACCGCTCAGATCAAAAGTCAGGGGCTTCACGGACTGGTTCCACACTCTAGTATGGCCAGCTTGAGCCTTCTAACCTAATTCAACTTCTGACAACATTGCACGTCGAGGTAAACAGCGGTTCGGCATGCGAAACACATGTCCAAACCGTCTCGCTCGATGAAGGTTCACAACCTCATCAACTGACTTGTCTTTCTTGCTTATTGCATTTCGTCTAAACCCTACTCCATTGCTAACATGGTGATTCCACCATACGCGAACAATGCTACGGAGACACTTGTGGTCAAAACCTTACAACCATTTCATATCTACTTTTAACAGCCATGTCTCAGAGTCGTACAACAAGACAGAACGGACTGCAGCACAACATACTCTTCCCTTAACACGTAATCGGATATCTCGCCAGTCAGCGCCACAGATGACGCAAGTAGGCGAATGCCGAATGCGCCTTCTGTACCCGAGCTGAGATTTCGTCAACAACCAGTCCGTTCGGGTTGGTGCAACTCCACATGTAAGTGAAGTGGTCGACCATTCAACCTATCATTAAAGTGGGATTAATTGCAAATCATCATCTTACATTTGAAATATGCAAAACGTATACCAAACATATTCAAATTTATGCTCAACAGGTTCACGACACTGCATTTCGTTGTCTTCACCTTGCAGGATAATATCGTCTAAATACTCAAAGTCAGCTAGATGACTTCCAGAGAGTGGATTAGTCCCTGTGATGTCAGAGGTGCGCAAAGTTATTTCCTTTAGTATATCCATAACGAAAATGAATAGAAGCGGTGACAGCGGGCATACCTAGCGGACACCACCAGTTGTCGTCAAGTCATATGACAGCTCTCCATAATACCTAACACGACTGTGTGAGTTCGAGTGGAGAGCTTTGATTAGCGTTATGTAATTGTTCGTTATTCCTCTCACAGTCGGACGCCGTCACAACACCCCACGGAACAGCCACAGTTGAGAGCTAAGATTATTTTATGGTTACGGTTTTTGCCAAAAGTCATTCTTGGAATAAAACTCAGTATTTGATCCCGGTTTTATGGTTTTGGCGAGTCACTTTGGCTAACATCAAATAATGGTCATTTTAGATTTAACACTGATAGCTTCATAAGCCACTGAGTTACATGGACTCTTAGACTCCGCCCAAGTACCGACAAACATTAATTCAACACAAACTTCTTTATTCAGGGGTAATATCCCATACACTGATCCTCTTTCCAGCTCTTCCAGTCAGTCTTAAGACTAGTAAGCAATAAACTGAAGCAGCCGCCTAAACTATATTCATAGCACATGTCCAGATTACTGAAGCCAGTGATTCGGGATGAAGTTACGTAGTGACTGATGACTTCCACTTCGTTCAAACACGCCGCTCGAGATCAGAATTACTTATATGGCGCTTTCACTGCATGAGAGCAACCCTTGTGAAACGGGTGATCCAACATCCCAGGCTCAGCTTAGATAGACCTAGTTTCACCACTTACATGAAAGCTTTCTTCATTCAAACCTTTACAGCAAGGTCAATGTAGCAATGGTGCTAAAATGACTCAATGATGTACGCTTTTTTGACTTTCGATATACAAGTGAAAATGACGTCAGCCACACATCCACCAAAACTCAGAGATACCAAGATGCATTTTCTGACTAATTCCAGCAGTTCATCACTTATGAGTGCAAGCATAGGATCCTGTCAACCCTGACCAAATATCTTGCACTGATAAAGGGCCAAGGTACATGGCACGCCTGCAGACAATGATTAAGCGCATTCTGAGTAGTCTGTATGGTGTAGTGTAGTGACTATTCTATACTCGTTCGGTAATATCATCAAAGTGGCCATACTAGAGTGTGGAACCAGTCCATGAAGCCCCTGACTTTTGATCTGAGCGGTGTAGGATTGTGTAAACTGCCTGGCTGGGGTCCCCGAGATGACAGAAATCAGTGGTTGAGGACTTTTGGTGAAATGGCTGAAAATCGATCACAGTGGGACAGATGTATTCACTCTTTGGTGTCTTCTAAAGCTTGAATGTTTTGACTAACCTTAGTTTTTAACTTCCCTTTCCTCGCATACACCTTTGTCTACTTTCATATCAGTCTTTCCTATCCACTTGTTTTTGTATACTACTATAGAGCGTGGCAACTTGGGACAATGCACGTGCGTGAGAGGTTCTACGTTGATTTTGTTTGTCTGTCATGGCAGTTTCCTGAAAAATTTCTGATCAGTAACAAGAATGAATCAAGGGAGGGTGTTATTTTTCATACGAACTGCAAATAATATACAACCAAAACTAGAAGCTCACTCATCAAAGAAATGGGATAATCAATTGGAGATATGAAATAACCCATCTGAACAAAGTTTGTCAATGCGAAATGGGTAAGAACATAGAATGACTTAAATAAATATGGGAAAATGTAAGTGTAGTAACTATGTATAGTCAGGCAACAAACTTTCAATACACTGAAACGTTTTTGGGGCTAGAAGTGGATACAAATAGGACAGAAAGGTATCGCACATTCAGGACGTAGATGTGACTCAAAATTCAAACCAGATCACAGTCTTCTGAACACATGGGGCAAAACTCTAAGTATGCTTGTAATACAATATTTCAGAACCAGTCTGCGCCGACACCTAGGTGAAAGAAGGAAAGTGAAGAGGTGAAATTCGTTGGCCATTTCACTCGTGAGTTGCTTCAGCCCCCGGAATGCACTCAGGTACCTTGTGGATATTCGTGCAGTAGGCAACGAGTCACACCTGTTTTTTGAGGATAAATGATGCTACCTAACTGCCCAAATCTCAGTAGGTGGAACGGTATTAGAGCCCCTGACCTATTGTTTGGAAGTCAACTGCCTAGGCCAATAAGCCACAGTGTTGACTGAATGAGGTTTAAACTAGAAAAAGGTTAGGAAGCAACCAAATTGAAGCATAGGATCGGTCTATGAACTTGCTGACCGTTCTGAGCCATATATATATATATATATATATATATATATATATATATATATATATATATATATATATATCGCCGTGGAGTCCAACTGCATTTTCATACATACTTCAGATATTTGAATTCTAGCCATTGGACCACGGGCTCAACCCATTTCCACCTGCCAAGTTTTAGACAACTTAAGTCATCTTAACCGCACATACAGTATATGTGAACCTCAGTCCTGGTACACGAATTCGCACATGATTACAGATATTTGTTTTACCTTGTTTTATACCGCTAATACGCTAACCATGACGCTGTATTTTTTTTCCAATAGGTTTCTTATCAAGCGTCAAATAGTGATCAGCCTACGGTACATTCAAGAACCACTTTGTCAAAGCCTTCTATTCGTTCAACAAGTACCACTTCTGATGATCGTTTCAAGCACATTGTAAGTAACAGTTGGGTTTTAGTTCCCGTTTGCATTTTGTTGTCCATAATATATGCGATCAACTAAAAACTGCACTACCCACATTAGCACTTACGTGCGTTTTGTGTTTTAACTTTCTTCTCAAGCACAGCCTGAGCGGTTTCAGACCTCACATTAGTTAGGAGCATTGACTAGCTAAGTTAGTGGCTTAAACACTGAGCAACCGATCAGAATCCAATTCAGCTGCTAAAACTTGATCAGTTGATGTTTTTTTTGATGAAGTATATCCTCTGAAGAGCAGTGTGACAATTTAGTACTTAGATAGTTTTGACCTGATTAGTGATGATTATAGTTGCTGCTCCATTCTACGATTACTCATGTTGACTGAAAATCGAAACCGTAGTTCAATCCGTAAGTCACGATCAACTCGCGACCTGGAATTACAGAATATTAGTTCAAGTAACCATACCTCATAACAGCATATCAAGCAAAAATGCACCAAGTTGCAAGATCGAGAAATAAGGGAGGATGAAGTCATGAATGAAAGAAAGTCTTAGAAGTGAACAAGAAGCGAGAGAAAAACGATCAAGTCTGACATGACGACTAAAAGGAAGATAATATGTTGGTGCGTCCGTAATATTGAAATCGACTGTGAGAAATATCCCCTAGTCGCCAACCACTGGTTTCGGTTGTCACGTAGGCCACAAGCTGAATACCTACATTCGTTTACAGGACTAAGACCAACAGTCAAAGACTTCATGGACTGATACCATATTCTAGATGAACCACCTCTTACCATTTTCCAGCCTTAAACTACTTCAGCTAACATTGGGTGATGGTGACCAGGGATGCGTAACGCATCTTAAAGTTGTCCATCTCAGTCGATCAACGTCCACAATCTCATCAACTCTCATTATTTTTCAACTTCAAACTCTACATCTGACTTCTACATTACTGACGTCGTGCCACCATGAAACAGCCTCTGCTATAAAGGTAACGGTGGTCAAACGGCTGAAGCCTCTTCATGTACTCTACCTTCAGTGGCCACGTTTCCCAGCAATACAGTAAAACAGAAAGAACTGAAGCTGAGTACACTCGGCTCTCAGTAGGCAATAGGATATCATGGTGGAGCCGTAAGTTGGCGACGGCCAATCCAGTCTTTTGTATGCGCGAGAGCATTTCATTGGTCACTCATCAGGCCTAATCCAACTTCCTAGGTAAGTGAAATGCCCAACTCATTCAACCACTTCACTCCCTTCTGTTAGGTGAAACAATGACTTAGACCGATCCTCGAACAACAATTTGTATTTTGGTGGTGAGAAACGCATCCTAAGACATACTCAAACTGGTACGTAAGGTATGTAAAACACCCTGCAGGTCCATCTAACCGGACTTTGTCGTCTGTGTATCATAGACCTACTGAGGGGGTTCCCTATGACAAGGTCAACCCCATTAGAGTCAGACGAGTAGAGGATATGGGGATGTCTAGAAGTACGTGGGTGGTAATATTAGAGGGGAATGAAGAGAGTGGACATCCTTGACGAACACAGCTCTATATACATATATCACCTGCCTCACCATAAGTTTTCGAATACAGAGTCTTCAACAGGGTGGTGAACTTACCCAGCACTCCCTTTAGTGAAAGATACTGCTGTGAAACGTCACAGTCGATGAAGTCGGATCCCACCTTCAGGTCAGGAAGTATAGCTGGTTTCGTGTGTCTGTGTTCCAGAACCTGACGGAGAGTGAGTATCTGGCTACTTTATCCACAAACACGTCCAGAACTTGCCTGGGTTTTTTGGGTTCGCTGTTCACAAACCTCACTTAGTCGCGTAACAATTATAGAATCTAGAATCTTAAACACTCTGTTTGTCTCCTTTCTTGAAAAATAGAACAATCGGTGATTGAGACAAATCAGAGAGGATCAAATCGGGTTCCCACTCACTAGCTGACACCTCACTTAATCGCACTAATCATCGTTAACCACCGTCCTTAAATACCTCCGATACAAACTCGACTGGCTTTCTTCATCACAGATTACTTACACCCTTCTCAACTTCTGCAACAGTTGAAGACCCTATCTCAATGTTCCATTCAGAATTTGACTGGATAGCTGGCAGCCGAAGACTAACCAGAGGTCGGTTGAAGTGTTCCAGCCATATCACTCTAGTCGTCTCCCTGCGACTTGATCACAGACCCATCCTTCTTCACAGTAGTCTCAATAACCAGTGATCTTTCCGCCCTAGTTTCCTTAATGACCCTGAATAACTAACTGTCCACTGTTACCGATCACCGATGACTTTCCCACCTATTTAGCCTTTACTGCCCACCACTGTTCGCAGTTATTACTTAGACTTTTTATCAGTCTACATTTAAGTTGCTTCCGCTCCTCATTGAACTCGGAGCCTGCAGGAATGCGTCTATATGCATTCACTAATTCAGAAGAAGCTGTTGGTATCCACTCACCCTTCCTAACCTCTTTCTGAGAGTCACTTACGGTCATTAACTCTGTTTTTACAGCAGACCGATGGTAGGAGGCTTTTTCAAGTCGAGTTTACGCTACACTGTTCTGATAACTGTCTAGCCAGTTCTTTATTGAAAGCAGCCTAAGTATTCTCATACTCAGACTGGGTTCAAAACAGTCTAGCAGTTGTAGTTTTTCTATATCCATCTTGTGGTAGATATAGACGCGTCTCTATCAGTACTTGGTCGTTGATCAAAGGCGTGTTCAAAAGGAGCGGTAGACTTCTATCGACCCTTTGCAGCTATGACAGATAACAATATGATCTGTCTCTGTCCACCTCTGAGTTGAGCTTGGTGGACACCACGGCAGACGATGTCGCTCTTTATATGTGAAGTTCGTGCTAGTCAGAAACAAATAGTTATCTGAACACAGTAGTAGCAGACGATTGCTGTTATCTGACCGTTCGACTGGGCTTCCGAAAGTACCATCTCCCTCATCTCTGGAGAAGGTCGATGGCAGACTACTGCTTCTTTTGGAGCACGCGTTTTGGACAGCGACCAAGTATTAGTTGGAGGGTGTGTATGTGTGCATCTCTAAATGGACTTAGGAAAACTCTAACAACAAGACCATTGAAAGTACAGCTCGACAGTGAGATCACTGAGGCCACTACTAGTGAGAAACTGGTTCGACAGTTACCGGAAGGGAAAAATATCACCCATCCAGAAGAATCTTGGTTCCACGTCTAGTCTTTTGTGAAAACAGCGTTTGAGCACCGTAGGTGACTCTAAAAAAGATGTTGCAGATGACCCGTGGACACCATCAGCTTCTTTCGCATTAATGGATGCACACGAACGCATCCCTGCAGGCTCTGAGTGCAATGAGAAGCGAACGCAACTCAAACGTAGACTGATAAAAAGTCTACGCAACGACCGCTAACAGTGGTGGGCATCGGAGGTTGAAGACACGGTGAAGGCAACGATGATGGGTAACAGTAGATAATTACTTAGATTTATTAAGGAAACTAGGGCGAAAAGGTCAGTGGTTGATAAGACTATAGAGGAGTAGGATGGTCTACGATTTACTCGCAGAGGAGACGTCTGGGTTGGTGGGCGGAAAACTTCGAGGAACATTTCAACTAGACTACAGCCACTACTTCGTTGCCTAGTAGGATCATGAATGAAACACCGGGGTAGGAACCTCCAACACTTTCAGAAGTCAAGAAAGCTATAGGCAACCTGAAACGAGGAAGAGCATCACGGCCAACGGGCCGATTTCGGAGGTATTTACGGACGGTGGTAGGGGATTTTTAGTCAAGTTAACTGAAGTGGTCCTCTCTGACTGGCCTCGATCACTGATTATCCCGGTTTTCAAGAAAGGTGAGAAGTCCTCTTGTGGTGACCATAATAGGATCAGCCAAACGAACAGTGTCCAAGATTCTCAGTTCTGTGATCGCTAGACATCTGAGTGGAGCTTGAGAACAGCAAACGCGAGAAAACCAGGTACGTTTTAGACCTGGCTATGGGCGTATGGACGACATGTTCACACATCGTCAGGTTGCGGAACACAGGCACAATTACTGAAGCCCGACATTGGTTGTATTTCTCAGCCTGAAGGAGGCGTTCGACCCTGTCGATCGAACGTTCGTATGGTAATGTCTCTCACTGAAAGGGGAGCCGAGCATTTACATTATTCTGTTGAAGCCTCTGCACTCGAGCATGAGTGAGCATGTTAGAGCCCATGATGAGTTGTTAGGTGAGCTGTGTGTGTCGAGTGGTGTTCGTCAAGAGTACTCACTTTCTCCTATCTTATTCCATTTTATCATAGACGTATTTATGGATGTCTTCCCCTCGTCATCTGACTTCAAAGGGATTGATCTAATCACAGGGAATCCTTGGTAGATCTAGGGTACTCGGAAAACTAGTTCTATCATGCGGAAACTCTGATAAGATGCAGTCTCCTGAACTCCTTGAGTGGTATTTTGAGAATATTTGGAATACGTTTGTCACCATCCAAATGTAAACTGTTGTTCCAGGATTGGCCTTCACTGGTTGCTCGGGTAATCATAAAGAGTGAAATAGTTGAGGGTGTTGACCACTTCACTTACCTGGGGAGTCAGATGAGGCCTGATGGGTCACTGGCTGACGAAATCTCTGCGCCGTGATATCCAATAGCCTACTAAGAGTCGAGTATACTGCACTGTAGTTCGCTCTGTTCTCCTCTATTGCTTTGAAGCATAGACACCAAAGGTGAATGATATGAGGAGGCTTCAAGTGTTTGACCACCATTACCTTCGCAGCGTAGGCCGTGTGTCGTAGTGTCACCACGCGAGTAATGCAGAAGTCAGGCGTAGGGTTCTAGGGAGCAGAGGAGAGTCATCTGATGTGAACGTTCATCGGTTCAGGTGGCTGCAACTTATAAAGCGTATAAAGCTAGAGAAAGGCTAGGGGTGACCAGACTAAGACATGACATCAGTGCTTGGAGTCTTTGACTATTGGTCTGAGCCATATAGAGAAATGCAGACTAGCCAGTTGGGGTTCATGTGACAACAAAACCCAGTGGCTGGAGACTAAGTGACATGGCTCAGAATCGATTTCAGTGGAGATGTATCTACACTTTTTGTCCATCTTTACCGGTATTCCGGATTTACCATGTTCTTACTCTTTTTTCTTTCGTTTACTAATTTTTTACCGGTTTTTACTTCATATTTTATCTTATCGTTTTGTTAATTGATGTGCCGATATGAGGTGTGTAAACTTGGACTGTTACGCGTTAGTGCCTTGTCATTTTCCTGTGTTGAATTTGATGATTCTGATGATGGGTGTTTAGAATGAGTTGTTCTGCGAGTCATGGTTTTACTTAGCATTCGTTTCATTGTTATGGTAGACATTTTCATGAGATGATCGCTGGTGAGTAACTTCGCTTCCGTGTGAAGTAAAACGCTTGACAGTTACAACATGTTTCCGAGAACTAGTCACTCTGAGCCCAAATTCCTTCTTGCCTACTTGCTTGTGCCATTATTATAACTTTTTGTCTCTGCTGGTTCAAAATAAATCACATCATGTGCTTAAATTGTTTGGTGTTAACTGGGTAAACATTTGAAAATTTTTGAGTTCGTGTTAGAATAATCAGTATCACATCTTGCGGAGTCAATTATTGTGAATTCCTTTCTTTATTCTGCCTAATAGTGTCCTCATCCAAGGTGTGGTCGTAGATATCAAGCTGAAATTGGACTTCTACGTCATTTAGTTAAGTACCATGGTGAGCAAATTGAGTTGCCCCGAAGAACTCGCTCTGCAGCTAATCAGCACCTGGTTAGACGTCCAGCGTCAGAAGAAAGAACCATTACTTCCACTGGATTCGATGAAATTGATGTGTTGGTGAGGCTTTTTTGAGTTTGTTTTAGATTTATTTAGTTTTATTGCTGTTCAACAGTATGTACTGAATTATACAAGTGGGAAACATAGTCGCCTCACGTCTCCTACACTTATGTCATTAGAATGTTTTCGTTACTATCTGATCTCATATAATCATCGATCTTTGAATGCAACACAGTATTCATATATCCAACTTGTATTAGTATTTATCGTGTACCAGTTCTAATGGTATCATCATATTTGTAAACGATCACTGGCTCATTTCTATCGAGCCCAAGATCTTTGCTGATAGTGCGTAAAAAGATGAGTTTCACTCTCAAGTACATTTAATGGAAATTCCAAGAGGCTGTTTAAACTGTTTTTGGTCATTGTTTGTGATAACAGTGTAATCACAGCTTACTGAAGTTGGCCCTTCACATAGAAAACTTCGGGGTGAGATAGATTTGTGTTTTATATTTACATCCCTGCCAAACTGCAGAATGTCATGCATGATAAGTACTTTGAACGTGAAAAGTGTTTATTTTTATTTTCAGCAGTCATATTTAGTAGTAGGAGACTCACTTTACACACCTACTATCGCAGTAGATTTATTTGACAACTATAATGGAACTGTTAACCTCGAATTTATTTTGTTATGGTTTATAGCTAGCAGTGTAAAATGATTTACAACCATGTTGTTCTTGAACTCTTACGTTGAAATCTTATAGGCTGATATCCTTTCTACAAGCTTATAGTATGTGTGAGCAAATATTTTTGTTGTCATAATGATTAGTTGTGGAGTGTCACCGGTTTATTCAGGTTAAGAAATCCTGACTACTGTTTTGGATGTTAATGTATATTCATAATGGTATTTCGTATTTTCTCTTTAACCTTCTGAGTCGAGGATTGGTTCTACTGTTTAATCTTGCATTAGGTTGTTTTATTGATTTTCTATGTGATAATTCCTAATGACATTATGATTTGGCTATCTGAGATAGCCGTAGTTTGGCAGATGAGTATTTGTACAGGGTGATGATTAAAGGTGAGATGAAAATCTGGACCGGGCCAGATTCGAACCAGCTACCACCGGGTTACCGGCTCGGTGCTCTACCAACTGAGCTACGAGGTCCGATTCGAACCAGGGAAGTGAAATAAAATTCTGGTCAGCAGGCGGACCTCGTAGCTCAGTTGGTAGAGCACCGGCTCGGCAACCCGGTGGTCGCTGGTTCGAGTCCTGCCGCCGTTCGGATTTTCATCTCACCTTCAATCATCACCATGTACAAATACTCGTCTGCAAAACTACGGCTGTTTCAGATAGTCAAATCATAAATAGCATCACCCAGTACTTAATGACATTACCATCAGGTTAAGTTAACTGAAATATCCACTCTCCCCAAAAAAATTTGTATCAACCCTACATTTACGTGTTTTGGTTGCTTCAATCTTTTCTTCTGCACAAATTTCATTGATGCCATTTTGAAGGTACTCTTGGACAACTTAAAATATTTTATTGTCAGGGCTTGCCGTTGCCTGTATTGCTATTGTAACCAGGTTTCTCGACCATTGTTAAATGATAAAATTTACTTCAAGAAAGTATTTAAAAACAAGTGTTGAAGGGATTGTAGGCTTTTGGTGTTATGCGTTACCAGATCAAAATAATCTAAATTCATACTTTGGTGCTGAACGTTTCAGGGATTAGGGTCTTACCGTCAGCTTTGTGTGTTATACAAAAGTGCCTGCTGTAGTTCTGTGACAACATGAATAAATTAGGATATAGCGTATAATTTCCTTCAATTTAATGATATTCAGCAAACAATGGAGACGACGATGATTGAGTACATGGAGTCATCTCACATCCTTAGCTTGGAAAGGCCAGGTTTCCCAGTCGTAGAACAAAACTGCTCATACCGAAGCGCTGTAAACCCAACCTTTTACGGTCAGAATAACATCACGACGGTGTCTAAGGTGTCATAGATTGACGTATGCCACTCTATATTTTGATATGCTATAGGGAATTTCATCACACACCCTCTACTAGCACTCATACAACACCCTCAGATACATGGACCTTTCGACTACTTCCAACAGCTCATCACGGAGAATGAGAGCAGGTGCAGGCTCTTGCAAAAGTACTTTTCACTTCGATGATGCAAAGCACATAGCATACTTACGGACACTAATCCCCTGTGTTGTCCCACAGCAAGATGATATCGTCCGCATATTCAAGGTTGAATAGCCGTTTTCCGGGTAGTAGATCTCCACCACTATCACACACCTCCTTCAGAGCTGTCTCAAGAATGTCATCGATGGCAGAGTTAAAGAGGAATGGGGAAATCGGGCAACCCTGCCTAACCCCACTGGTGGTTTGAAACACTGGAGACAGGTGGTTGTAGGCCATCATCTCTAAGGCACGCTCCTCTCCAACATACAATTCCAGAGTATGACTGTCGAACGAGTGGAAGGCGGCCCTAATGTCAAGAAAAGCAACGATTGTTGGCCTGCAATACATGTGGCGATGTTCTAGCATCTGGGAGAGGGTAAACACATGATCAGTGCGTCCACGACATGAACAAAACCCGACCTGCTCATCGCGAATAATTTTCTCACGTAGTTTGGAAGGTCAGCGAAGTATGATAGCAGTCAATATTTTCGGCGCTACTGGTAACAGACCAATACTTCGATGATTGTCACATACATTACGTAGACCCTTTTTAAGGATATGTTTACCCACTAACCAGTGATGAACATACGTTCTCATTACTATTTCATGCTAATCAAACCTCTTCACTCGAACTCATGAAGTTCTGTAAAGGCTTATGGGTAATTGTTATCCGAAGTGACGACAACGAATGGTGTTGATTAGGAATGCCTACTGTCACCGACTAGATGACTTAGAGTGTGAAGATGATATTGTTCTGTTAGCTAGAAATGATGACAAAATGCAGACTTTTCTGAATACCTTGAACTCAAATCTGTGTATGTTTAGCGTGAAGTTTGCATCTGTTAAATGTAAGTTGATGGCCCACAAGTGGTCTTCAACTGCTACCAATTTAAGGATAAAAACAGTTCGCTTACTTAGGAAGTTGCATCAGCCCTAAAAGTTTGAAAATTGTCACTAACCCTGGTTTTCAAATGCCTTCTTCCATACAATTATTTCTACTTTGATATCACTCCTTTTCTACGCACTTGTTCTTTGGATACTGTTGGGAAGTTTGGCAAATCGAACCGATGCACTTTTCTGTGAGGTTCTGCGTTGATTTTGTTTGTTTGTTTGTCTGTCTGTTTTTGGACTTCTTAGGTTATCGACCACTTTGTAAATTATTTAAATATGTTAACTTCACATTTTTATAAAGTACAATAGGGGTAGTAGTATTTTTGACTAAAATAAGCAATAATTTGGAGTGACTTTAAAGGCCACCCTAGCAACTGCTGAGACAACCAATTATATTCCTTTATTTCATAGTAAAGCGCTTTCCCAAGTAAAATAACGAAACCTGATTGGTCTAATTTGTTCAAGGACTTTATATGATATTGATTGTAGTAGTATAGTGTAGGAAACGAGAAGACGGAGACGAAGGAAGGAATGTTTATTATTTAACATCCTGTACAGTAGTCATCAAATATAGTACACTTTGCACCAAGATAATCATTTGCATAATTTGCTTCATTTCCTCTTCTGCTTCTATATTGATTTGCTTTTAATACGCCCACATTGTCTCTTGCGTTTCCCCGGGCAGAATCTTTACCTATTGCTGGCAAATTGCCTATGATTTATGCCGCCCTTTCAACATATACTACTTGTATCCATTCTGATCAGCAACGCCCACTACAATAGTGGCAACTCAAATGTATCGTCCAAGTCGGAAAAAAATCCATTCAGTAACCTTGTGTACATCTGTGCGCCAGTCAATGAGCCATATCTATTTTATTTGAGGCCTAGTGATACTATCTATCTGCCAAAACCTCGGTAGGTGGAGTGGGTTTCCAACCCGTGACCCGTCATTTGAAAGTTAACTCCCTAAATGGTTGAACCAAAGCTCCACCATCGTACACTGTTCATACTCTGGCCCATGATTCACACTTACTATGAACACTCCTAATGCTACCTGCTTGCTCAAACCGAAGTCGATGGAGCAGTAGTCAAACACATAGTATTATGTATTGATAAACTTGTTTCTGTGATGTAAAATAGCTATCAAACGTAGGCAACTAGTGATTCTTTTATATTTCACACAAGAGTTATCGTCACTGGAATTATTCTGTGCTATCTTATCCCATCAAACTGCTAACTTACTCTGGAGTTGAGAACTTTGATAGATGAAAGTGTAATGATATTGGTTTTCTGACTGGTGTGAATTTCGTCGACTAGTGTATATTTGTGCATATCTCACGGTTCATCTCAAAAAATTTGGCTAACAACATTGCTTAAGTAGTGATGCTTAAAATATAAGTCAGTCAAATCAGTCAGTATCAACATAGGATCAAGCATTACTGCGTAACGGTCCGAGTTGCCACACCTCATATCAGTTCATCAAGTAGAAAGGTAGGGAGGTGAAGGATGAAGATAAGAGAATACAGTCAAAAGAAATATAAAGTACGAGAAAGAAAAGAGAAATGACAAAATGGTGAGATTCGGAATAGCGTCGTTAAGATGAGGACAATGTGTGTATACATCTGCGCCACTGACATCGGTTCTGAGCAATGCCATCACCTAGAGTCTCCAACCACTGGTTCCTCTTGTCCCGCGGACCCCAACCACCTAGTCTGCATCGCCCCACATGGCTCAAACCAACAGTCAGAGACTTCATACATTGGTGCCATGTTTTAGTCTGGCCACCTCGGGCCCTTTTCCAGCCTGAACCCACCTCAGCCAACATTGTGTGACGAGGCAATCGGTGACTAGGCATACGTAGTACGTGTCCCAACCATCTCAGTCGATGAAGGTTCACAACCACGTCGACTGGCTTACCTCTTCTCCCCAAAACTCTACACCTAACTTCTGCATTACTCACATGGTGACACCACGGAATACGTCCTATACTACGAAGGCAACGGTGGTCAAACACTTGAAGCCTTCTCACATCTTCCACTTTCAATGGCCATGTTTCACAGCCATATAGTAGGACAGACCGGACTGACGTGCAGTAAACGCAAACCTTAGTAGATAATCACGGTGGCGCCACAGGTAGTGTAAGTCGGCGAAAGTCAATCGAGCCTTTTGTATCCCTGCAGAGGTTTCATCGGCAACTGAGTCACTAGGGCAGGGCTGATCCTACTTCCCAGTTAAGTGAAGTGGTTGACACACTCAACTACTTCACTCTCTATTGTTAACCGCGGTACCACTGAAGACCAGTCCTGGAGCAAAAATTTGCATTTGGGTGGTGAGAAACGCATACCAAACATTCTCAAATTCCCACTCAAAGTGTTCAGAAGACTCTGCATCTTGTCAGCGTCTTCACTTAACAGGACAATGTCATCTGCATATTCTAGGTCTGGCGAAAATTCTCCTGTGATTAGGTCAACATCTGTGTAATTAGGTGACGAGAGGGAGACCTCCATAAGAATATCTATGATGAAATTGAATAATAATGGAGACAGTGGGCATCCTTGACGGACACCACTCAATGAGTGTAGCTCCCTGGACAACTCACCATAGGCTCTAACATGTCCACAAGTGTTCGAGTAGAGAGCTTTCAGTAAGGTGATGTACTTGCTCTGCACGCCTTTCAGTGAGAGGCATTGCCATAAGACTTCTCGATCAACGAAGTCAAGTGCCGCCTTGAAGTCGAGAAATTCAGCTATTGTCGGGCGTCTGTAAGTGTGCCTATGTTCCAGAACCTGGCGCAGTGTGAATATTTGGTCGGTACACCCGCGGTTAGGTCTAAAGCCTGCTTGGTTCCCTCGGGCCTGGTGTTCCCGAGCTCCACTCAGGCGTCGGAGAATTATAGAACCTAGGATCTTGGACACTATGTTCGTCAGGCTGATTCCTCTGTGGTTATCACGAGAGGACTTCTCACCTTTCTTGAAGACTGGAATAATCAGTGACTTATACCAGTCAGAGGGGATTGTATTTGACTCCCATATGATGGTTAACACTTCCGTTAACCTGACTTGGAGCACCTTACCACCATCCTTGTATACCTCTGGAGTTAGTCTGTCTGGTCCTGCCGCCCTTCCTCGTTTCAGGTTACCTACCGCTTTCTCAACTTCTAGTGTTGGGGGACCTATCTCTATGTCCCATTCAGGATCCGACTGGATAGCGGGCAACGCATTCGTGGCTGGAGGCCAGTTAAACTGTTCCTCGAAGTGTTCTGTCCATCGTTCCAGTCGTCTCCCCTGCGAGTGAATCGCAGATCCGTCCTTCTCCGCTATAGCCTCACTAGGTGTTGTTGACCTTTTCCCCCAGTCTCCTTAATAAGTCTAAATAACTATCTACTATTACCGAGAGTAAGGATATGTGACAAAATCTATTAAATTTTTATTTTGTATTTGGAATAGAACACATTAGACTTTTAGTATAAATCATATTATCCAACTACTTTTCATTCTGTTAACTTTCAGGATAAAAGTTTCTTAAACCAAGAGGTGTCTAGGAATGAAATCCCATGTTTATTTGGCTCAAAGAGCATATTGCAACCCGACCAAACCGAAATGAAAGAAATCGATTTCAACCCTTCTTCAGTAGTAACCTTTGAAACAAATAAGGCCAAAGGATACACCTCAAATGAGTCATACGCTAAGCTAAAAGATATTCCTTCCGTATCAAATACTGGTGTATCACTTATGTGTTCTGCTTCTCCTGCAGGTGGAAACGGGACCATTGTTCCTATCCCATTAATAGGCAAGTTGATAAGATTTTTTGTTATTCATATGGTCATTTAGTTTTATTTTTGCAGAAAAGTGGTTTTGTATCCATGTTACTATGCTGAAAACATTTTGATTCTATTAGAGACATGCCGAACCACCCCGTATCTTGATGTGCTTTCTAGGGGAAACTGGATTAGGCTGGAAGAGGTTCCAGTATGGCAGCAGTCCATGAAGTCTCTGACTGTTGATCTGAATCGTGTCTGGAGATGTAGGCTACCTGGCTGGGGTTGGGGTCCCCGAGATGATTGGAATCAGTGGTTGAGGACTCTTGGTGACATGGTTGAAAATCGGTCACGATGACGCAGATGTATTAACTCCTTGACATCTTCTAAAGCTCGCATTAACCTTTATCCTCAGATTGTTTATTCTCTCAGACTACTTTATCTTCTTTGATATCAACCTTTCTTTATCCACCTATTCTTTGTGTATTCCTATGGAGTGTGGCAACTTAGAGCCGATGCACTTGCGTTTGATGTTCTACATTGATTTTGTTATTCATTCAGTCAATCAGTTAGAGACCACTACCCCAATCTCTTGTCTGCTTTGCTTTCTGTAGGTATTCAAAAAATAGTTACACTTTTTTCAAAGGAACTTTGTGATATGATGTTGATCACTTGTAATTCTGTTTGTGAGTACTCAGATTTGCATTTTCGAGGACCGTGAATTTTTTTAGAGAGGCTAAATTAGTAACAAATTGAGGATAATTTATGCATTCTTAAGCGGAGACCAACCTCTTTTAAGAACCTCAGTTAATTAATATTGTGTAGTTTTACACGATATTTATTATACTGTTTATCTTTTTAAAAAGGGTTTGGAATAACTTCATTTGCCATCACGAGAATTTGTGTGAAGGTGAATTTAGCGACCACACAGAAAAACATGGGATTAGTTATTATCATTATTAATATTTATCGCTTGGGTTCCTAGTAAAACATAGGGCTTCAGTAGCACGTCTCTATTGCACTCTGTTCTCTGCAGTTTTTTGAACCTGGCTGCACGACGGCCCAGAAGCTTTCATTTCTTCCTCGTATGGTCTCCTCCATGTCACCCTCGGACGCCCACCTAGTCGTTTCCCCTTTGGGTTCCACTCGAGGACCTGGCACGTGATATCCCCAAACCTTCTTCTCAGTCTTTTTCCAATCCAATTCATCTCCACTTTCTTCGGCATATTTGTTGGGCATTAGGTCCTTGGTTGGTTCGTTGCGGGAGTGAGTTCCTTGTTGCTTATTTATTCTGGCCATCTGATCTTCAGTATCGATTGAGCGTAGGCGACAGCTGTTCATGTATGTCTGTAGTTTGTCGAAAATGCTTTTCGTAACGCACCAAGTCTTCCAACCATCACATAGAAGCACTAACTTGACTGAATTAGTGCCGAAAATCCGGATCTTGTTCTTTATGCTGAGTGGAGTGCAGTAGATCTCCACACTGGTTTCAGGTTAATAAAGGCCCGTCTTGCTGTCTTTCTGATCCTGGCTTTGACGTCATCATCTGTGCCTGTACCGCCTTTAGTTGAGACGATGCTGTCTGCTTGGGTAGGTGAAACAGACTACTTCCTTTAGGTTTGGTATTCATGTCGCCCATTAGAATTTTGATGTTGCCATCTGGAGTCTTGTCTAGTACTAATTGCAGTTGTCTGTAGAATTCCTCCTTCTTCTCTTGATCTGCATTATTTATAGGTGCGTACCACTGAATGATTGTGACTTTCCTTTCTTTTGAGTTGAATCTAACTGTCATGATCCTTCAGGAGGGTATTGGTTCCCACTTCATGAGAGCTTTCGATGCTGTTGGGGACGTCATGATAGCCACTCCAAAACTCAGTGTGCTCGCGGTTGTCGTCTAGATGACAATATCAGAGTAGATTATTGACTCCCCAGTTGACAGTTAAGAGAGTTCACTTCCATTCCATTTGCTTTCACAGATTCCTAGCGCTTCTGTGCCATACCTTCTCATCTCTTTTGTAATCTGGGCAGCTTTGCTAGGTTCATGCATGGTGCGGACATTCTATGTCCCCAATCTTACTTTCGTTTTCATGCAGAGAAGAGTAGACAGATCGACCAATTTGCTTTCCGAAGGCTTTCACCAACCGGTGTCATTTCATCCCTCTGATTCCAGAAAGGAATAAGTTTGTTTTTATTTTTTTATATTTTCTTTGTGCTTTGAAGTTTCTTTAGCGACTGGATTCGTTTTCCGGGATAGGGTTGCTAGCCCTATACCCAATGTTCCCTCTTTATCCGGTCTTAGTAGCGGCTAGTAACTAGTGAACTGGTTAACCAGGCGAGGTCATGGGATTAGTTGCTCTCAGTCAGTGTATTTAATCCAGTCCTACAGGAAGTCAGTCGCGGCTCGAATAGCTCAGTGGTAGTGTCACTGACTGCATGACTATGTGATACGAGTTTGATTCTCACTGGGGACATCAGTTCCCTCGATTTTGCATACACGCTTTACTGACGAGTGCCAACAAAACTTCCTACCCACCACCATTTAACATCAATCAAATTGCACCATGATGCTAAATTTGCTAACCTGGTGACTAGGCCACAGAATTGATGGACGGAATGTGGTTAGCACTCAGGACTAGACAGTATGAAATTGTTCACCCTCCAGTGACCGGTCAATGTACCTGATCCACTACTACAGGAGGTCGATGGTGGCACGAATCGCTCAGTGGTAACGTATCTGACTGTAGCAATGGGTGACGTGAGCTCAAGTTTCACACAGGATATTAGTCTTCTCCATGTTACAGATACACTTTACTGATGAGTGCCAAGAAATAGGGAAAGTAGGTGCATGGCTCTTAGTTACTACTTGCAGCCGATTAGCATATTATTGTTTCATTGAGGTTATGGGTTTTCGGTTCGAACCCCGCTCTATTTAGCGAGGTTTTAGCCACCGGGCAGTATCCTTAGCCCTCACACTATAAGTACAATTCATTGTTTATTAAACGAACGTGGACATAGTTGGGTAGTGAATTTCAATTTGATTCGATCAATGCATCATAAGGTCGGAAGTCTTCAATGAGCTCACAATCGTCGTACATAGACCGTTAGTCGATTTATTCTTATCTTAAGGTTATATCGGATTTTTTTTTTGCGGTTTCGTACATTCATCTCTTGTACTAAACAGCCTTTGTTTTGTAAAGTAGTAGTTGGTTATCGAACATATTTAATGTTTTTCAGTCATCTAGACCAGTACGAAGTTACGAAGTTAAAATTCGCTTATTTTCTCCTCACACTTTAAAGTTCATCTTATTATTGATGTACACAAAGGAAAAAAACTACAGTGTACAACTCCCACTATATGTGGTTTTGACCCACGTTTGATAATGTTCCAAACTGTTCCTAGACAGTTGACATTGATCCATAATCGCTTACCAAGTGCAAATATCCTTTGTTTCACTATATATCATGTCATAAGACTAGGTGATTTGGCTAAGGGATCCCTTCCAATAACTGAGCCTATCCATACTTTCCCTTCATCTAAATAATGTCCTATGGAGATAAAGGGTATCAGACATGTAAGTGCGTTGAGATGACTATGCCTGAATTCTAATTCAAGTATAATCGTATGTATTTGATTAGCTTAGCTTGCATCAAATCGAAATATATCTATTGTTTTTTGATATCGTTTATTTGTTTCATAACTGCATACGACTTAACTTAATGTCATTTTCGTTTCTTTATTAACCTTGACTTCAGTATACTTATGTTAAATGTTAAGACCTAAATCGGTTTGCAGTTATGCTAGGTTCTTTCTGTCATGAAAATATCTAATCTTTTGAACACAGTTGGCAAGAATAATATGCCAATGTCTTTCAAGGTATGTAGGCTCTGCTTTAGGTTGGATACGACGATGGCCTGTCTCCAAGTTGATAAAACACTTATTAATCTGATGTGTTTAATTGACTACTCCCTCTTGACTTACTTTCATATATTTTATTTCGTAACTAAATCACACTGTATGAGTTAACTGATCGATGAAAATAATGATAAGGAGAAAGTTATTGCGAATTTCTATATCTCTGTAGATTTTCAACCATCTGTTTTCTTTCTTTCATCTATTCTCTTTTTCCACATTGCTTTCTCTACAAAAAAAGTGTGCACTTATCATCATGTTTGATTGTTTGCCAAATGTAGAATAAAGATAAAAACTAGCATAGACTTACTGCACATATTTGAGTGTTTATCAAATTAAAAAGAAGATAGTTCAGGTATCTTTCTCATATTAACAAGGTCTTGTCAGGACTACAACTATTGTTCAGTTTGAAGATAAGTGTAGATTGACTGGTAGATTTCAAAGTGGTATTAATCTAGTGCTCAATTAAGTCGAGTGTAAGAACAAATATTCTCCAGTGATATTGGACAGTAGTCGTGCTATATCACGAATTGAAAGAACTAGGGAAATGTGGGTCATTAGATGCCGACACAATGGCTTAATGAAGTGCTGGGGGTGATACCTGAACGTCTTGGGTTCAACCCCTATCGGAATCGTGGGTGCACAGTGTCGAAGAGTTCATACTAGGATAAGACAGTTGTCCAATGCTCACAAATTCTCAATAGTTCTCCAACTGATGTCAGTCTATTATGAATACCTCGCCAAATACAGTATTACTTTCCTCATCTTACTGCAGCCGGCCACAAATAGTTGTCTTAGTTGTGTGTTTACAAACAGACATGTGTGCTGCTACCAGTATGTGATTGAATCCCAAGCATTTACTATAAAAAGAGCTGCTATCCTCCACCGATTGTCTCTGAAAATAGGTCACAGCGATATCATTTGTATATGTTTACCGTTAGCTAGAATGAGATAATTCCTTTCCTTAAATTTGAATTTATGAACAAGTGTTCTTCAACACGAGGCTGCTGATGACTTCCCGAAATTATAACCTTACATCAATCCCACTGATATGGTTGCATACATACTTCACCCTTCTTAACATATTTCTTTCACTTTTTGCTGCGACCGGTTGTGCGACCT